AATTCTCCTCAAATTGATTTATGGATTTAATCCAATTTCAATCAAAATCTAACTAGATTTTTTTTTGTAGATAGAGTGGATTCTAAAATTTACATGGAAAGCTAAAACTAGAATAACTGACACAAAACAAGTGAAAAAGAAACAAAGCTAAAGGACTATAATACCCGACTTTAAGACCTACTTACTATATAGCTAAAATATTTACAACAGCCTCATATTGGTGAAAAAATAGGTTACGTATTGCTGTAGAACAGAATAGGGAGACTAGAGGTAGGCACACGGTGATTTTAAGATGCAAAGATAATTCAGTGGAAAGGGGTAGTCTTTTCAATAAATAGTGCTGCGCTGCCTGAAAATCTTCAGACCATAAAAGAAATTCTTCCTAAAAAAAAAGATTAACTCAGGGGCACCTGGGTGGCTCACTCAGTTGGTTAAGCATCCAACTCTTGATTTCAGCTTATGTCATGATCTCATGATTCGGGAGATCAAGCCCTGCATCAGACTCTGCACGGACAGCATGAAGCCTGCTTGGGATGCTCGCTCACTCACTCTCTCTCTCTCTCTCTCTCTCTCAAAATAAATTAAAAAATTAACTCAGAATTGATTGTAGACATTATGGAACTCTTAGAAGTAAATGTAGAAGAAACTCTTTCTGGCCTGAGGTTAGACAGAGAGCTCTTAGTACGCCCAAAGCACCATCCATAAAAGAAAAAATTCATAAATTGGCTTCCATCAAATTAAAAACTTTTCCATAAAGGATACTGTCAGAATGTAAAGAAGGTAAACGAATGGCAAATAAGCACATGAAGGGGTGCTCAACACTATTAACCATTAGAGAAATGAAATTAAAACCATACTGAGATTCCATTATACACATTTTAGAACGGCTAAATCCAAATACTGATAATATCAGGAGTTTGTGAGGATATGGAGCAACTGGAACTCGTTTTTTAAAAACAGGTTTTGAGAGAGTGCAGGGTGGGGGGTGGTGCCACAGAGAAAGAGGGAGAGAGAGGATCCCAAGCCGCCTCCAGGCTGTCAGCCCAGAGCCCGAGGCAGGGCTCAGTCTCATGAACCTTAAGATCATGACCTGAGAGCCAAAATTAAGAGTTGGACACTTGCCACCCAGGTGCCCCTGGAGCAAGTGGAACGCTTACACGTTGCAGCTGGGATACCCTGGACAATTAGGCAGGTTTTTAAGAAGTTAAACACTTTACACCTTCCATATAATATACTGATATTTCTCCTAGAGGAACAAACTCACGCTTACAGAAAAGCCTGTTTGTAGTAGCGTTGTTCAGAATCACCAAAATCTTGGAAGAACCCAAATGCTCTTCAGTGGGTAAAAGGATGCCTAAGTGTGGTGTAGCCACTCATTGGCGTGCTATTCGATAACTAAAGGAACAAATAGTTGTATACATGCAACGGAATGGAGGAATCTCAAAAGCAGTATGCTGAATAAAAGAAGCCAGTCTCATGGTTACATGCTGAAGGATTCCAAGTACAAGACATTTCAGAAAAGGCAAATTATAGGAACAGAGAACAGATCAGTGGTTGGCAGGAGTTAGGGGCAAGTGGAAGGTCTGACCAAAAAAAAGCATGTTGGAATTGTTATGTATCCTATTTGTGGAGAGAGTAACTAGATGCTTTGTGCATATGTTAAAACTCAGAACTGTAAGCCTAGAAGAGTGAATTCTACTGTATGTAAATTTTTAAAAACAAAACTGCTTCTCAGTGAGATACAGTATGTCAAAGTTCATTTGATGATACTTAACATTTGTGCATTTCCCAGTTTCTAAATTTTGCATCACCTGAAAATAAAGATCGAAAACAAACAGAAAAACTGTTTGGAAGGTGGGAAAGAAACACTTAGGTGTTGTAATTAGAAAAACTGTACCCGAAAGTGTGGAAATATAATTGATTTTATTATGGCAAGATCCATTTATTTTCTTTAGCACATAATCAGGTTGTCTGTTTTCTTGACGATATACTGTGGATTCCGTGTTTCTTACTTAATAATGATGGATAGCTCCTGGCCACAAGCTAGATAAGAGTTCTTTTGTAATCTGTTTTCCTACCCCATCAGTTCAGGTTCATCGTATCTCCCTGGTCTTTGCCTTTTGCTCACAGTTCTCTCATTTGTTGACAAGGGGAATCAGGTTAGGAAGAAGTCTGTTTTGAGTGTTCTCTATGAATTTGTTACATTTAAGACTTAATTATAAATTCCTTTTTGACGAGCGGAAGCTAGTCACACTGTATTGGTTGGGATCATCTTTCGACTTTATAAAATACCAAACTTAACAGCGGCTTTATCTTAAACATTACAGACCATTTGTGATTCTTTGATTTGAGTGTATATATTTTAGCACTCTGCTGTGCATGACAGTAGATGTCGTCATATTAAATTTAAATTGATCTCCTCTCAGTGTCTATCTTTAGTGCCTGTGCAATTTCTTCAGCACCAGAGAACCTTTCAGAGGCATTCTGTCAATACAGCTACCTGACAGTCATTTGTATTTGCAAACTGTGCATTTGGCACCTGCTGCTCTCTGTTGCACCGGAGCTAGTGGGGAGCCAGAAGGGGTGTGCAGTGAAGTTATTGGTTGGTACATCTCAGTGGGAGTTATTGAAGGGAAGAAACAACACTTGCAGGACCGCAGGAGAGGATAAAAAGAAACTAGCCGCCATTCTTGGCTACCAAAAAATTAGGATTTGAAAAGTAGGTCAATTCTACTGAATTAAAGTGTTAATGGACCTGCATTGCAATTCTTGTTAGAGATATGAAGAAAGGTTGCTATTTAAAATATATAATGAATTTTTAAAACGTGAATATTTCAGTAGAAGACCGATAATTCATATAAGCAGAAATATAAATAAAAACAGTGGAAAATGCTTAATTTCTGAAGAAATAGAAATTAAAATGCAGGTGTCTTTTTGTCAAAGTAGCAAAACAAATTTTAATAATAAAAAAAGAAACATGTTGGCAAGACTTCAAAAAACAGGTAGACAAGTAGCAGCAAAAAATGATGTTTTGTGGGTATAATTTGCCTACAGTTTATCAAAAATTCTTATTAACTCAAAAGACTACCCTCAGCTTCTGATGGTTTGATTTACAATTTTTTTGCTTTACGGTGGTGCAGAAGTGATATATTCAGTAGAAACTGTATTTTGAATTTTGATCTTTTTCCAGGCTAGCGATCTGCACTGAGATATCCTTATAGTGCTGGTGATCAGCTCCCAGAAGCCTCTGGTCACAGAGGCCATGACTGACACACTTACACACATTCTGTGCCCTTACAACTATTGCTTATCCCTTTCAGTACAGAATTTAGTAAATGATATGAGATTTAGATACTTTGTTACAAAATAGTCTTTGTATTAGATTATTTTGCTCAAGTAGGATGATATCAGTATTCTGAATACACTTAAGGTAGGCTGGATATATTAAATCTAATCTCCTTTTAAGGATTTTTCAATATAGGATAGGTTTATTGTGCTGTATCCCTCTTGTTAATTGAGGAAGATCTGTATTCCTACTTCATTAGATACAACTCAAGGAAAAAATTACAAAGGAAAAGAGTGGGGGCGCTTGGGTAGCTCTGTCGGTTAAGCCTCCAAGTCAGCTTCGGCTCAGGTCACGATCTCATGGTTTTGTGAGTTCAAGCCCACATCAAGCTCTGTGCCGATGTTGCGGAGCCTGCTTGGGATTCTCCCCCCCTCCCTCTCTCTGCCCCTCCCTTACTCACGCTGTCTCTGTCTCTCTTAAACTTTAAAAAAATAAAAAAAAGGAAAAAGGTGGATGCATGAATCTGCTTAGCCTTATAATGGTCTGTTTTGCTACATTGCATGTTTTTGTACTGCAGACTTGACTGTTTTGTACTTCATGACATGACTGGTAATTAGGGGAAGGATGTTAATATAAGTAAGTTGTGTTGGTTCATACTATTTTCCTCAGAAAAGTTTTTTGTTCTGTCTTTTACCATTAAAGATGATGTTTTAGTGGTATACATAGACCTCCCCCCCACCAACCCCAAAAGAGGAGAAGGGGCAGTTTTATGACCTTCAGAAGTACTTTGCTTTCCACAATGTTAAGCTATCGAGTGAAGTTGCCTGTGTGGTTGAAGAAGTTGTGAGATTTACCCTTGTGCTTAAAAAACAAACAAAACATGAAAAAACCACACCCTGATTTAGATTATTTTGATAAGTTGGTTCTGCTGGCAGTGAGTGCCCTCAGGACCTCAGTTCCTATCTCAAAAAAGGACTTGTAAGTTCCAGGTTAGGGCTACAGAGGATCCACCTGGCTGACCCAGCAGAGACTGAACAGTGCTAGTAATTTTGTTCTAGGCTCTTGCTAGTACTCTGGTTAGGAAGTTTTTTTCCGTTTTGAGAGACCGCATTCTCTCTAGATTGGGCAGGAGAGGGGAAGTGGCAGGCAGAGGGAGAGATAAACAGAATCCTAAACATAAGCAGGCTCCATGCCAGGCCGGTGATGCTGGCCTCTATCTCCCCACTGTCACCACCGTGAGATCATGACCTGGGCCAAAATCAAGGGTTAGACACTTAACGGACTGAGCCACCCAGGTGCCCCAGTACAAAGCTACATGGTTTTAAGTGGTTATAGCCTCTATCACTATTTTTCCTGGAGCCCTGTTTTTTTTAGTGTGATTCTGCAGAACATGAGCTTTTTAGTTACATAGATTAAGGAAAACATAAATGCCCAACATCAAGGGAGGGTTAAGTTTTAGGACAGCATCTTGATAGACTCTAATGCATCTGTTAAAGTAAGCATAGAAAAATTTCTATGGAACAGGTACAAGAATTACAAAGCAGAATATCCACATTTCATGATTACACTGTATAAAAATGTTCACAGTATATGTGGCTTCTGATAATTATGGTAAAAATGGTGGGGTTGTAGGTAAAAAGTAAAGAAAAAAATTTTTTAGAGATAACTCCATTTTAACAGCTTAAGCTAAATTTTTATTTTACTTTGGTTTTAGAATTCCTGGAAAACTCAAACAGTTTGTATTTGACTTACATTCTGGAAAATTGCACAGAGAATTCCATCATGGTCCAGACCCAACCGATACAGCCCCAGGACAGGTAGGACTCTTGTTTCTCAGTGGGAACTTTTTTTTTCCAGTTAGTCTTAAAAAGGAACTATAAAGCTCTTGCACAGGCTTGAGTTTGTGCTCCTAAAAAAACCTTTATAAAGAAATCCTGAATAGATTCTAGATAATATGTAAATTATATTCCTTTTAAAATTAATTTTTAAAATTATGGAACTTCAGAAGAGTTGCAAGAATGGTACAATATAATTTCTTCATAAAGTGATCTCGAGTATATCCTCTGTGGAATAGGAGTAAACGGGTTAAATACATCTGGCTTCAAATATAGAAGTTGGAGGTAAGAATTGGAAGTACGTAGATCAGTGAAGAAATAGTGGATTCCATTGATTGGTTAAAGTCTTACTCTGTGGCCAGGAGATTGATCACAATACAAAGAAAATAGTGATTTGGTATTCTTGCTAAATCATCCTAAGCACCCTCAGCAATAATACAGTATTCATAAATTGTGCAAAACTTAACGTTTAATGCAGCTTTTTCATATGAGATTTAGAATGGTTCACAGCTACTTATGAAATTTTTGTATTTGCTTTTTATGTGACCTTAGCCTGAAAATTTGACTCTTTCTGTTTCTGCTTTGGTAAGCACCCCTAAAACTGCGTTTTGATGCATTATTGATTTACATCATATCTATTACCATGATGATACATAACAAAACTCATATTTCATATGCCCAGAACGTCACTATTTTATCCAAGGAACCTCCACATAGAAAAATAAAAGCTAAGTCAATTTTTCTTAAAGAGTCAAATTAAGTGCAGTGTCAAGAGTTCCCTTTAGGAATCCAATGATATCCTGTTTCCTTCAAGTCCCAGGTCAGATTTTTCTTTGATAATTAAACAACTGTAGAAGCAAATGAGTTGTTGGCAATAACCCAAAGGCAATTATTTTCCTCAGGAAAGTAAGCCTGCTTAATATTTTATCAGATTAGGGAAAGATGTTACTTACCATTATTGTATTATCCTGATTTATTTATTTCCACTTCTCCATTAGACAGTGAACTTCTGTTTTATAGTAGTATCAATATGGCTTAAACCAAACATATATCTCAGTAAAAATATAAATAAAAAATGTATTGGAGAAGGGGAACATGAGAAAATAAAATGGGAACTTGCAGCTGTTGCTTTCCCAATATAACGTTAGTGAGCCAGGATCCACAGTGTGTAACAGGGATTCTGTGCCCGTGTTAACTACAGGAGATACTAAAACAAGGACAACATGCTTGTTCTTGAGGAACTCAGGTTGTGGAGATGAAGGGGAGTCTTAGATATGTGAAATTCTTGGAAGCCACTCTTATAGTTCCCCTGTGTATTTTTGTCTACTGTTGGTGCACAAGTAAAGTACTACAGAAATTCTTACAGAATGGAAGTGTTTATCTTCCTCCTTATGTCAGCTAATTTCTGGCATCCAGGTAGTTACTACATGAAAGCTCTGTCTACAGCGTGGGTGCCTTTAATCCTCTTAGTGGTCATTTGGAGGAGGGAAGGGTTTGGGCCAACCTAGTCACAGTTGTGCGGCCTTTCCAGAATATTCTAGGAAAGCCCTCAGGTGGTTTCCTTAGAGTACACCCCAGGAACTGTCAGCAGGTTCACAGTTAAGGGCTGTTAAGGGCACCTTTGCCCTGGGGAATGTGAGTAAGGGCATTTGAAATGGGAAAAGCAAGAGTTCAAGCTTAACTCTGGTCTTTGGCACACAGTAGTTATCTTTTATTGATTATTAAGCAAATAATTACAGAGCAACTATTAAAATAGTGTAACTCCATAAAATATATTGATATAAAATGTTTTATTCTTTCTCTTGTAGCAAGTCCAAGATGTAGCAAGCAGCCCACCTGAGAGCTCCTTCCAGAAATTAGCACCCAGTGAATATAGGTATACTCTATTGAGGGATCGAGATGAGCTTTAAAAACTTGAAAAACGATTTGCAAGCCTTTCAAACAGCAGCATCAACTTACGTGGTGGAAATAGTAAACCTATATTTTCATAATTCTATGTGTATTTTTATTTTGAATAAACTGAAAGAAGTTTTGGGTTTTTAATTTTTTTTTCTCCCCCTGACTCAAAATGCATTGTCATTTAATATAGCCTCTTTTTAAAAATCTGTTAGGGATAAAAAAATAAAAATAAAAATCAGAGGCCTATCTTTGCTTTAAATCTGTCCTGTAAAATTTTTATAAATCAAATGAAAGGTGACATTGCCAGAAGCATACCGCAAACTCGCACTCCTAGGTCAGGGAGGACTTAGGGGTGCTTCCTGTGTGGTATGTGCTTTTCTTTACATATGATCAGTTCTGTTGGTATTTTCATTATCACATTTCTCAAAGCTAAGAGGGTCTATATTCTGGATACGGGGAGGGGAATAAATTAAAATTTTCACACTGTGTACTGTGTTTTACTGATTGGTCGGATATTGCTTATGAAAATTCCATAGCGGTATTTTTTGGATTCTTAATATGTAACTTAAACATACTATGAAGAGGAGGAGAGCCATAAGCCAGAACATTTGGCAGGAACTGTCCTTACAAATTAAGAAAAAGAAAGTGAAAAGTGTTATTAAATTTCTGTGTGTTTGTCTAACAAAATGGCATATGGATGGCATTTAAAACTTTGAATTATACCTAAATCTGAGCTACTAGTGGAGCAGGTTACCACTGTTGGACCAGATGACGTTTAAGGCTCCTCCTTTCATGACACATTAATTTCCAAAGACAAAAACCAGCAGAGAAATTGTATTTCAATAATTCTAACTTACTTCTATCTTGTAGAGTCTTGTTCTGGATGTATAGGTCAAAAACAAAGACAATAAGGCACATATGTTTTTAATTTTTCCCACTGTAAAATTGTTAGAGGACCCTACCCCCTCTAGAGTCCCTGATCCCAGCCCTGCAGTGTACAGTCAAATGGGTCCCTGTGCCAGGCCTCGATACCGCCAGGGAGCAGAGCCAGAGGGAGAGGCCCCTCGGTGTCCTGTCAGGAAGCCCAATGCCAGAGGACAGACAGGTTCAGAATTGGCTCTCCTCTGGGCCTGGGTTGGTGCTATAGGCCAAGAGTCATTTTATACTTGGAGTCTAAGTCAATCCCAGTTTGGGGAAAGATTATTTTTAAGCTTAAAAGGCTGACATGTGCCATTATATGTAGTGTGTAATATATGTAACATCTTCCAATTCTTTCAAAATAAAGTGAATATTTATAATGCATATTTAATGATTCTTATTTTAAAAACTCAGCCTAGAATTCTTAGTTATGCATGACTTATCCATCATTTCATTCAGAATAGTAATTCTTGTTAGTAAGGTGATAAGGGGCATGTTTAGTATAATCTTACCAGGCTGTTAACCAGAAAAGCCGGACAGAGCTTCCTCAAGGTTGAGTCTTAGTTCTGTTCGATTCATTGCTTTTAATCAGTATCTTTGAAATCAAAGTTGTAGCCTTCACGTCAGAGGATGGACTAAATCTAAGGCAGTGAAAATGAAAATTAATAAACATTTAACAAGGCAGCACATAACACCCAAAGCAGCATATGCAGTTAACTGGAATAAATTTATAATCCTGTAATTAGCTTTAAAAATATAAAGAAAAGATAATACTCAAATATTGGAATGCAGACAGCTAACTTGTGAGTAGTTCTTATGAGAAAGGCCTCAAGGAACACATGTTCAATTTGATCAGAGAATTGAGTGGCTGTTAAAAAAGATTTGAAGCTGCATTATTTAGCTTTTATGCATATTGGGACTCAAATGTCTATTGATAGTGAGATGCAAAGTGATGTTGGGTAAGTTTTGTACCCCTCAAGGGCTGAGCATTCATCAGGACTTGCTCAATTTTATTTAAAAAGAAAAAGAAAAGCTGACGTGCAGAACACCAAAATGCATTATGAAAATTAAGTTTTTGCCATAGGGCTAGTCCATATGGTGGGGGGGGTGGGGGCGAAGGCGGTAAGGGGAGAGGCCCAGGGCTAAGAAAATGAGAAAGGAAGTTTACGAATGGGAGCTGATTGCGCAGGGCCTTGAATGCCAAGCTAAGGAGTTTGAACTGTATCTTATAGGCAGTAGAGATGCACTAACAGATTGCGCAGGGCCTTGAATGCCAAGCTAAGGAGTTTGTACTATATCTTATAGGCAGTAGAGATGCACTAACAGATTTTAAGCCAGAAGTATGCTCATATTAAAGTTTGAGAAGGAATACTGAGGCAGCAGGTCTAGACACAATCAAATGGGCCAGCTCAGGAGACAGAATGGCCTGAACTAAAACAGTGATGGCAGAGATAGGAATAGATGTCATAGATGGCAAGTATGTAGATTCCACAGGGATTTGTCACCAGCTGGATGTACACAGAGAACTTGCAGGAATCTAGAACTCACAATTTACCCATCTTCCCCTCTGAACCCTGCGTCAGAGAATGTTGCAGGTGGAAGTCTTCTCATTTATCCAATCGACTTTGGGCTTCAGGCTCCTCAGTTGGGGTAGGGGTGAGGGGTGGGGGAGGGAAGGGGGGCAGGGATTAGAGACTAAAGAATTACAGTTGAGTTACAAAACCAAAACTAGAAGCAGTCCCTTCTGCTTGTCAATCTGCTACCTTTTCAAGTTTTTCAGAAATTGGTCTAGTGGTGAGGGGAACATAAAAGGAGGAAAACTTCCTTTAGAGGAAATTCTAAACATTTTTAAGTAGTTAAATGAATGTAGAGAGGAAGATAGAGAACAGGCATCTAAGCATCCCCTAGAGCTCCATGACGAGGTTGTCAAAGGTCCCATACAAAAGGAGGAAAAACTGGCATGATAAAGGCTAAAAAGAGTGAAATACAAGTGTTTTGAAATATTAAATCTCAGAATGAGCTTAAATTTGCAGAAAGTGCTAAAGTTGCCAAGAAGGAATTAAAAAAGAAACTTGAGGGTAAAAAGAACAGATGAGTGTAATGGATTAACAATTAAGAAAAGCAGAATAACTCCCTTTTTATTTTTCCTCTGACAAGGAGATCTAGTCTTGCGGAGCCAAAATAAAATAACATATACAAAAAAAGCAAAAATGAGAAGTAAAAGCAACCTTGCCACCTTGAATAACATCAGGCAGGGCTCTTAAGACCAAACTTTAGTGTCCCAGAGAGTGGCTGGAAGTTACAAGTGCTTGCTTTTAGCAACTATTGGAAAATTTTGAGAAATCACGCAGAATGTATGGTGACAGAAGACGAAATGAATAGTATTCTGGTTTTCAAAATAACTAAATGGCTTTAGCTACTTTTCTAAATAAAACATCTCATGAACCAAACTGAAATGTTTTAGTAGTCTCTTTTGGGGAAAAGATTTAAATAGGTGGTAAGAATAAAACAGTAATCAATTTTTAAGCCCAATATTTAAAGACCCTGACAACAATAAGTTGTTTCAGGACTTAAATTGTTTTATGCCCATTGCAACTGTTTTGTGTGTTCATTAAAACAGGTTGGATAGGACTTCTGCTTGGCGACTGTTTTTTAGCTGTGTGTGAACTTTTGTATGTATTTCCAAGTAATAAAACTATATTTATAAAATATTTCTACATTTTAGATTTCTTACTAATTCAGTTTGTCATAAATATCATAATGTGAACATTTTACTCTGAATACAGATGACCAGTAACAAGCTTTTCCAGTTATTTTTTAGATTACTTAATTGTACTAGAATCAGAATGGGAAGCTCTATGGATCCATATGCTGACAGCTCAAGCCTGGCCTTCAGGTGAAGGATCAGAGCTCCCTCTTCCAGAGCACACTGGGGAGGACCGGCCTGCCCTTAGGCTTTGGAGAGGAAGAGGAAGAGGAAAAGCACAGCTTACAGATTGCTTTTCTAAACTGCCTCCTTCCCTCCTCCCCACTACCTTGCCAAATAAATTCTATCCATCCTCCAATGCCCAGGACAGTTATCACTCCCTGTGGTCCCGGGGCCCTTTATTTATGTATTTTAGAAAACCCAGTCTAGTACCCAGTTGGAAGAACATGTATCCCTTTGTCTTATCACCACGTGAACACCATGGAGGTGGGAACGCTTTGTATTCCCAGCAACCTGGAGTGCTGTAAGATCAGTAATTCTATGATGGAAAAAAAAAAAAAAAAAGCCAAATTCCATAGTAAATAAATGAACAAAGGACAAGAAAACATCATAACTGGAATGAACTCTGCTCCAAGAGAATAGAGGCTGTCCTTATTCTCTATTAATATCTTACCGTAATAGCAAAGCATTGCTAGGTATTGCTAACTTATTTCCCAGGTCTTGGCCACTCAGGTAAAAAAAAATCATGTACTTGCCTATTTGTGTGCGTCTCATTTTACTTACGGGGATAGGTGATAGAGAGGAAGCTGCATGGCCACTCTTGATGCCATGTGTAAACTTGCACATGGCATAGGGAGGATCAAATCGATCTTGGAAGCCTGGCACTATGACTGTTTTCTTGCCCTAACCGCTGCCCAAGAGGGCATCCCTGGCTGTCACACAGAGAGGGAAATAGAACGGCATTTATTCTGACTTCTCAATTCTTCCTATTTTCACAATGCCCATGACCTTCTGACTTAACACACCACTTAACAGTCTATTTCAGAATTTTTATCGATTATAAACTACCTGGTCTGTGGCTTCTGAAATAGAACTTTACTTCCAGAAAGATTAGTATTTTATAATCACATCCACAAGTTCCCAGTAATTTTAGGAGGATGTTTTTTAAAATCTAAACCTAGAAACCTTCTTTTGGAACACAGATTCTTTTTTGAGGGGGAAAGAGGGGACAACTCTGCACTAATTTTCATGGCCTTTATAAATAGGGTGACCATATAAGTTTATCATCCAAACCAGGACATGTGAGAGTGAAAGGAAGCACTAGTAATAATTTCACCAAGACAACAGATGCAAATCAAGACAAACTGTGATGTCTCATCACCCTATCATGTTTGAATATCATTCTCATCAGAGATGAAAAAGATTTATTCCTAACCAGTCACCTGTCATCATTACGCCACATTAGTTTTTTTCTTTCTTTTTAGTGTTTATTTTTGAGAGAGAGACAGAAAGAGTGCGAGCAGGGGAGAGGCAAAGAGAGAGGGAGACAGAGATTATGAAGGAGGCTCCAGGCTCTGAGCTGTCAGCACAGAGCCCGATGCGAGGCTCCAACTCACGAACTGTGAGATCATGACCTGAGCCAAAGTTGGATGATTAACCGACTGAGCCACCCAGGTGCCCACACCACATTTTTTTTAGAAAGTCCTTTTAAGAATTCCTGGTATTTCCATCAAGTTTCCACTCATTTTAGGTGTCTCTCTAACACTATTCTTACAGGTCCATGATACTTTTTGCATTCATGTGCTGTTTCTCTAAACTTTGGTAAAAAATAAAAATTACAATAACAGTTGCCACATACATTTGTGCAATTACTATGAGCCAAGCTCCATTAACAGGCACTTAACATGTATTACTTTAAACTTCATGACCACCCTGTAGGATAGGCAAGGTATCAACAGGGAAGGGGAGAGTCAAGGAAGGGAAGACTAAAGAAGTCCCAAGTTGTTGGCCTTCACGTTAACCCAAATAACAGGCAACTGTTTCGAACAATAAAACCTAGAGAGGAAAGGAAAGTAACTAATTAATGTCCATGGAGAATTGATAAGTGCCAAGCACTTTATTCCTTTTCTTCCCTATCAACTCACTGAGAGGCTGTTTGGTGGGAAAAGTACAAGAACTTGGGTATTAGAGACCTTGGCCAAAATCCTGTCACATGCCTATCTCTTAACTTCAGTTCTGCCCTTTCTGAATTCTAATCTGTTTGCCTAACTGAGCAATTAAGCTCTTGCTTCTACTGTGTCTCCATACTAGGCCATCAGATTATAAATTCTTCTTGGGTGCCTACTATTCTGACCCCATCAATCCTATGGTAAGAAAGAAGATAAACCCAACTTTTCTATACTATTTCTTAATTGACTCATGTCCTATTTCCTAAGTCATGACTTTTAATTGGAGAAATAGAAATATCTTTACCTCCAAATTCTGAATAATTTTCACTTCATGGCTCCCAAGTGCTGGAGGTGTTTTCCAGATTTCTTCAGTTGCATCACTCATTCCTATGTTAATATACAAAAGTGAGTACTGAGCAAAGGTTTGAAAGGTGTTAGAAGGCTTTTCACATTTCCATACATAACCCTGAAAGATGGAGCAACACATACGCTATGACCCCAGCATTCATCATCTGCAAGTCACTATTGGGCGGGGCGGGGTGGGGGGGAATCATTTCTTCCCCCTTCTCATCGCTGTATTTCATGTCATGAAATACTCCAAGAAGCAAGTGATAAGCCCTGAAAGCAGCTAACAGTCTAGCTGGGGAGATCACATGACCATGAACGATAGAAGTTTATAGCTGTGAAGTTGTAGAACACTGCAGAATTAACCACAAGTGAAAATGGGAGCCAATGAACTGCAGTGGTCAAGAAATACTCCTGTAGAGATGGAAAACTGGACCATGAAAGTCTTGGACAGTAAAAGGTAAATTTCAGGAGTATTTCTCAGTGGGTTTTCAAGAAATATTTATGGAATAAATAGCAGGACAGGAAGAAAGCAGGCATTCAATATGAAGCAGGGGATCTCACAGCAGAGAGGCAAGAAAGCACAAATCACTTCTTGCATGTGGGAAAGGAAAGCAAATATGCCAGATATACAGAGAAACCTGGCAAAGGTGAGGTTTATTACCAACTTCCCTGGCCAGGAAGGCAAAACGAGGAACTCTGAGGGTTGTAACAGTTTTAATCTGATACAAGGCAATCCATTGATTCCTTTAAACAAAGAATTATTAAGTTAAAAACACATCTAATACCACTCTCTCTGTATTTCCATCCTGCCAGCTTCATCGCTCACAACACAGAATTCCTTGGTTTTCTGCAAGCATGCTATACTCTTTGGTGTTTTCAGCCCTACGTACATGCAATTCTTCTGCCACCTCAAAAGCCACAACTCTGTCTTGGGTCAGGCATATCCTTCCTGCAGGTACCATTCAGGTAACACATGTATGTCCCGCCAAGTGTTTCCCTTTTCCAGTCAGAGCAAATCAGTCCGTCTTACTTTGTTCATTCCTCTTTTAAGGTACTTACCATGTGTTGCTGTGACTTACTTGCTTTACGTATCTGAATTCGTTCGTTAGCCGGAATGGTTTACAAGGGTAGATTCTATAGGTCTAATATTTTTCTATATATGGCCCTGGCACTCAATACATAACAGGCATTCAGTTCAATGTTTGTTGAATGAATTTTATTGCATGTTTCCTTATACAAGCACCACTCAACATAATGAACTCAGTAAGCTTTACAGAATTTGTAGAAATTCTCACCATTGGGGCTTTTCTTGTGCTGATCCTTGCTAACATTAAGGGTTTAACAATAAAATGGAAAATATCTTTAGGGGATTTAATAAAACCCAGGTAAACAGCTTTTTAATGATTAACCGTAATACAAGAAAATCTCAAGTACCTGAGAAATGTATGAATAACATAAACTCTTGAGTTATTTTTCCTCAAATATTTATTAGTCAAGTTTCTTAAAGGGGCTCGACAATGGTCCCTGGAGTATCTATGCCGCTGAAGGAAACTGCCATGCTTTGGCTACCAGATACACAGGCAACAGGATGGGCATTGTCTTGGAGGTTAAGAAACTGAATGTCATTTCTTCTGGGGGGACAAAAGGTTTTTTCCTTAAGAAACTTTTAGGCTGACTAGTTCTGTAAAATGTAGTATTACAGAAATTATTTCTGTCTGGACAAATCTAAACAGTTTATTACCAGTTTGTAACTTCATGGAAAAATCTTAAAATTATTTTTGTGGAATGTCTGATTCTCAGGGGCAACGTCAGATGGGGAGCAGTCGAGTTTGAGGAGATAAAGCTGGGGCCAGACTATGGCAAGTCGTGAACGCCACCCAAAGGGATCTGAGTTTTATCAGGTACTCAGTGGGAGCCACTGACAGGATTTCAGCAGAAAAATGGAAGAGGGACCTCGTTCTCACTTTTGTGGCAGTGATATGAGGAATGGTTTAAAGTTGGGGAAAATGAGGTATGGGGTACACAGTAATACAGTTTTTTACTAGAGTGATGACCATGAATATATTTAGAAATAGATGCAAACTAACTTTCAAAGTAGAATTGACAAGACCCAGTAAGTGGCTAAATATAAAGAATGGAGAGTGTCAAGCTGCTAACTACTAAGGTTTATGGCTGGCGAACCCCTGGCTGCAGCAGGAGAAGGCAGCCACCCCTGAGGAAAAGCTTACTATGCAGGAGACAAAGCCAAAACTAGCCTCTGATCTCCTGATTCCCCATCCAATTTTCTTTTCACTGTTGCCATCGCCTGATTTGGAATGTTAAAGCTGGTCTTTCAGACCATAAGCCTCAGCATGCAACTTAATATGACATAACAAAACCTCAGTTAAATTACTTTGAGGATTTTTTTTCTTAGACCTTGGTTATATATAATTCTAGCTGTGGTACTAACTAGTTTCGATCTTGGGCAAATCATTTGCCTCTGACACCTTTTCACATTTTCATTCATTTCTTTTGTTAAATTTGCACAGATATATTTCTTGTCTCCAAAAATAAATCATTTATTGAGGGTGGCAATGTGGATAATATATGGACCTTTTGTGGGCATGGAGGAGGGTACTTGTGGGGATGAGCACTGGGTGTTATGTGGAAACTAATTTGACAATAAACTATTTGTAAAAAAAAAAAATAAATAAATAAAAAAAATATATGGACCTTTTGCCACTGATTGTTTATAGTACCCAAGAAGTTTCTCTGTAAAACGGTGTCAAATTAATGAATATAAATATTGAGAACCACTTGCTAGAAACAAAATGAAGTGTTAAAAACACAAATAGAACCTCAACTGTTTAGATTATTTTAGGCTACTGGGGAAGCTTTCCTACTTTTCATGAGTCCTCTGACTACTTACGAACATAGTCTAACACTCATAAGTACCTGAGAGCCAAAGCCACATTGCACTTGATAACAAGAAAAGAACATGTCCACTTCACAGGAGAACTTTTTGCCAGGCTTTTCATCCTTCTTCCTCCCAGATTTCAAGTGGCAGCAATGAAGGGCAGAGGGGACCCTGAGAAAGACCTTTCAGTTTTAAGTTAACACAAAGCATAGCTTGGTTTGGTTTCTGTTCTTCAGTAGAGAAAAATGTACCCAATTTATGTATATTGGAGGCTTCCTCTCCTCAACTTCCTGTGATTGATATTACCAGTATTCACTCCTTACTCCTGTGCAAACTATGTAGGACACTTACAGGCAGGCAGGCAGCCCACAGAGAAAGGTTTCTGGACTCCTAGGATTCTCCCTTCGCAGCATTCAACTTCAATATAAACTAAAAGTTCTTGCTCCAGGACTCTGGCCGGCATACCCCCTTTTCTGGGCATCCTTAGGTTACTGGCAGAGTAGGAGGGTAGGAGAGCTAAGCCAGCAGAAGAAAAGCAAAACTGAGAACAGAAGAGAGGAAAGGTCATAAGGGCAAGGGAGTGTAATTTGTGACTAATAAACACCAACACGGCTTTTCTATGTGGTTTACAAATGTCTTTGGAGACAATTCCAAAAGAGAAGTTTCAAAAATGTTCTAAGTAATGCTAGCGTCACTACAGTAAGTGCGTGGCCTCCCAAGGGTACCATTTTCAAGGAGAGTAATCATTTGATTCTATGAGTTATGATAGATTTTGCAGCAAAGTTCATTTTTAATATAAAAAAGCACTGCTTAAGAGATGGCTACAACCCATGGAATACAAGAAAAATTCTAAGATGTGCAGGTGGAATGGAAACATTTTTCATTTTATAGTCTAAGGACCAAATTCAGCACTAGGTACTTCTGGATCAGCCACTATTAAAAACTCTGAGGCTGTGGGACACTTTGTGACCAAAGATCTAAAAAAGAAAAAAAAAAAAAAAAAACACTGCAGAAGAATGGCATGTGTAATTTCACAGCAAGCCTGCCTCAGAGAATATTTCGGGGATTGGGTGAGGCAGGACGAATGGCCTACCTCAATTTTATACACAGAAGTAGTGTAGTAGGAGAGTAATGGAAATGTCTGTAGTTCAACAGACCTAGTGAACATCCCGGTTTCAACTGTTTACAGCTGAATAACCCTCTGCAAATCATTTAACTTCTCTGAGACTCAGTTTCCTTGCCTGTAAAATGCCTGGAAAACAAATGATATTCAATAAATATCGGGTGTTTTCTTCTTTTCAAACTAAGGGCTGCAACCCATTGGTAGATTATGAAATCAATTTGGTAGGTTGCAACCAGCATATTTAAAAAACTGAAACACTAAAAAGCATCAGAGTGTCTGCACATACTGTTGTTCCATTATGCATATGCTGAGTTTTGATATAAATGCATTTTTTACCATGAGTTACAACCAAAATTTTCAGTCTCTGCTCTACAGAGAAACTTTCAGATTATTATATCACAAATGTCTTCAGGGAAAAAAAAGCCTTTAGGAACACTGCCTTTATCCAAATGAGGCTCAATACATGCCCCCTCCCCCCCCACCCCCGTTATGTACTTTTCATCCATGACTTCTTTATTTTATAACTGGAAGTTGGTAACTCTGTAAATTTTAGGAACTTAATGAAAGTGCCCCTTATCTTCTAACGTGATCTAGTAAAAATAAGACATGAATCACAGAGAAGATGAATTTAATCTGATACTGTAGGGCATTAAATTCCATTTAAGATGGGTTTCTGTGTCATATTAACTAATTTATACCTCTAAACACTTTATAGGTATATCATTTATAGTTTATTAAACACTTCAAGAAATTTCTACAAAAAGTTAACTATTAAGTTCTATTATGGGGGAAATTAGATACAATTTCTAAATAATTTAAAATTAGAAAACTTTTTTAAAAGGGCTGTAACTTGCCTGAGTATGAAGACTGCTAGAATAATATCCCAATCCGGATGAGGAGTAAAAATCAAAGGCCTGTACGGACACATGCAGTGGGAGTATAAATGAGAAATCCCCAAAGGAAATGTGAGCTTCAATTACAGGCCTCCTCTCTCCTCCAGCTCCAGTGTAAAACTAGTCCCTGGTGCTGTTGAGATGGTGGGCTTAAAATGCACAGCCAAGAGTGGGTTAGCAGAGTGGGAGAAATATGCTGAAATGAAGACTAGGCCACGTTGAAGGACAGAATACTAGGAATTACAGAATTCAATGATATAGCTCAATCTTGATGTAACTATACCTTAAGTTTATAATTTTAGCTGACCAGGCCAGCTTGGCCATTATTATTAGAATTACCTGTGGGACTGAAGTTTAGCAATCTTGTTTTAAACAAGGACCCTGGTGGGGGGGGTGGGGAGGGGGGCCTGGGTGGCTCAGTAGGTTAAGCATCCAACTTTGGCTCAGGTCATGATCTCACGGTTTGTGGGTTTGAGCCCCACGTAAGGCTCTCCACTGACAGCTCAGAGCCTGGATCCTTTTTCGGATTCTGTGTTTCCCTCTCTCTCTCTCTCTGCCCCTCCCAAACTCATGCTCTGTTTCTCTCTGTCTCAATTATAAATAAACATAAAAATTTTAGAAAATAAAATAAACAAGGACCCTGGGTGATTCTGATCCTCATTCTGGTTTGAATACCCTGTGTTAAAGGGACAGCCAGGATCAGAAAATATTTAATAAGGTGGAGTTCCAAATAATTATCCCAATCTTACAGGAATCCAATATCAAATATTGGATCAGAATCCAACACTTAAAACACTTCCTTCTTGGCATTATACTAAAGATACAAGTCAGCAAATACCAATACTTGATATTTTCCAGTTATTGAATGACAGTAAGAATTGGTGCTTTCTCTTCAATAGAATTCATTGGCGAGTGGGATGTAAAGTGACGAGTCACTAATTCTACTCCTGAAACCATTAATACATATAGATTAACTAGTTTGTATTTAAATAAAAGGGAAAAAAAGAATTCATTGGTGAGAGTTAAAAAAGTGAGAGATAAAGGTCTGTTTAGATTATACTAAGTAAAAAGATAGCAATCAAAAAAATTATTAGAGTAAACTCACCAAGAAAGAAGTGATAAACCACTCAACCACCTGAGGAATCTGGCTCCAGAGCTCACACATTTGGTGGTGTAGATGCCCATTCCTCTGCCCTCAGAAAACAGTAAAGATTAAGGCAAAAGGTGGTTCCTTCCTATTTCAAATGAGGAAATGAGTTGGGGGTACAGAATGAGGCTACCTGTGATTTTCAATTCTTTTCTCCCAAATTTAAAATCTTTTTGCTATTTCATAAGACAGACACTGGGTTGGGCTGGGTCATGCTTGCTCGGTCGGGATTAGCACCGCAAATCCTTCATGAGGACTGAGTCTTGGCACCAGGCTTTGTCTCTCATCTTGAATGTGAGAAAAAGCAGGTAAGAACGCCATTCTTGGGAAGAAATAGCAGCTGTGAAAAGTGAAGGAAAGCATAGGAGACAGCAAAGCCTGGGGAAAAGGATGGTAGTAATAGAAGCGAGGTAGAAAGCTGGTTCTTCACTCCAAGGGCCAGCTGGGAAGACTTAGGGTGTGGCAGGTATATCAGTCTCTTGAAATTGTAAGAGGTCCCCAAGAAGTGATCTCATGTCCCCCTACCCTCTGCTTATTTTTTACCTCAAACTCTAACAATGTTGGAAATATTTGGAGATTTCTCTTCCTTTTTTTTTTTCTCCCTGTAACCTAGAGGTTACAGGAGGAAGTGATGAAAGGAAAGAGAGATAGGAGACAGTACAAGAAAGCAGATTATGAGAAAAGTCCTCATTACACATGGGTACAATTCATCCCACAAGTCAAAGAAGTTTTCAAAATTACAAGGGAGGGGGTCACCTGGGTGACTCAGTTGGTGAAGCGTCCAACTTCGGCTCAGGTCATGATCTCACGGTTCATGAGTTCGGGCCCCATGTTGGGCTCTGTGCTGACAGCTCAGAGCCCGGAGCCTGCTTCGGATTCTGTGTTTTCAGCTCTCTCTCTGCCCTTCCTCTGCTCATGCTCTGTCTCTGTCTCTCTCAAAAATAAAAAAAACATTAAAAAAAAAAAACCTAGCCTTTAAAAAAAATTACAAGGGAGGGAAGGCAGAGGGCACGGGATCTTTGAGGTGTCAGGAGACAGCCTGACAGGGCAAGCTTAGTGACTGGCTGAACAGTCTCCTACCACCTGAGATTCTGTGTTCTTTATTTAAAGAGAGACAGAAGGAAGAGTTCAGGAAGGAGCCAGTGTCACAAATTAAGTCATCTGAAAGAGAAGTTGCACCTCTCTTTCCATTTTCTGGCACTATTAGACTCCTTCAGCTGAAAATACAGGTGGACCAAATGCAATAGGGATCACCAAATGGACTCCACTATGTAGTTCACCTGTTCCCCCTTGTGAGATCCTGATTTCTTTATTAGTTAAGAAAGGCTGCTAAACTCCCCACTCTTTTCTTTGTTAACAGGCCAAATACTCTCCTATATTTGGGAGATAAATAAACATATTTATAATACACTTAACCTTAGGGTCTCCAAGTCAGCATTATGGAATAAACTAGTCTTCCATAACCCAATATGTCAATACATCTCAAGTCCTTATCAAAGTTGTAGGTTCAAGTTTCACATTTCCAGGCAGAAAATCTGCTCCTTGGCAGTCTTTAAACTTTACCTGACAACATTACACACCCTCATCCCAGGCTCTTCAATCTCTAACATCTTCATTAACACTCCAGCAAACAACAAACTATATCCACTTGTCACAGTTCAATCCCACTTGAACATCTACAGCCACTATCTTGATATAATCATGTTCCAAAACTGACTGTCCAGCAGTGGCAAAGGTCCTCATTAGGATGGACATGTTGGCGTCAATAAGACTGAAGTTGGGTTTTTAACTGCATTTTTTGTCAGTTTGGCTGGGAAGATCTGGACAGCTGGAAGTGAGCTTCTCCATCATTTTCTGTTTCTTTCTTTGTATCAATTTTCCACCTGTGAAGCCCAACACCCCACCACCAAGTGCAGCTGCAATTCCTGCCATTTTGAAGCCTGCAAGGAGGCCAATCGGACCCCCCACCACTCCTCCAATGAGCGCACCTGCCACAGGCAGAGCTGCCAGCTTGTATTTTGCAGCCTGTAAAAAAAAAAAAAAAAAAAAAAAAAAAAAAAAAATTCAATTTAGAAATTGAGTTGAGAATATCTGCCTGTGGTGATGTGCATTTTCCTCTCATTACTCCTGGCAATGCCTCTTTAACTCCTGGTACATAATTAACCTTAGAGATGGAGGGAGGGGGGAGATTATTCCACAGGTACTGCAATTGCTCCTGATCTCAGAACTTAGAGAAATGAGCTACAAAAAGTGGACTGCTACAAATTGATTTTACTTGCAAAACAATCAATCCGCTAACTATCTAGCAGGCTTAGTTCAACAGTTTCAGCTGCTAGAGATACCCCCACTGCTTTTATGTTGCACAGAGATTATTCCATGCTGTATACCTGGGGTTAAAAGCAATATTCTATGGAAAATAGATAGTCCCACTCCCCCCATAGGGTCACATCCTTACACTTTTGCCCCTGCTGGTTCTGGCAACCCTCTGTACCTCATTCCCCGAATGTCTGCAAACACATCCCTATAGCAGCAAAGTGCTGTCGAGTGCGGCTTCGGTTTATTCTCTGAAAAATTTCTCCTCCGACAGAACGAATCTTAAGAGTAAAATATTACAACGGTCATTGATTTCTGGTGCTACCTATGTGTCATTTGTTTCTTATTTCCTTAATTGCTGGTTCCCTCCACATTAAAGAGAGCAGATCAATTGGGTTAATACTCAAGATTCCTGGGAGCCAGAGTACCATTGATTTGTCAGCAGGAGCAGAATCTTACCTTCCCCAAGTTTTTGGTTCCCTCTTCAACATTCACAGCAGCTCTGTTGACATGGTCTTCAATGCTGTCAATCTTCTCCTGCTGAGACTAGATGCAAAGGAATTATGAGTGAGTGTTCCTGCTGGGGAGCAGCAGTCAGCCAATACACACTACTTTAATTCCTGTAATCAGGATCCCGTGCACTGCAGCCTTGCAGTCTGAATAGTGGTTCATTAATAGTGTCTGATAAACTATGTCGAAAGTACAATTCACTTGTATTAAAAAAAGAGAGAGGGCTAATTATTAGGTAATAAAACGGTGGCACCTTGATAGGAAAAAGCATCTCACACTAAAATCCATTCAAACATACATATTATTCTCCAAATGAACCTACTTGGTAAGAAAAATCCAAATAAGTATTTACCTGTCATATTGAGGCTGATAAAAAACAACAACAACAAAAAAAAAACCCTTCCTATCTTTTTTGAAGATTCAAAGATTTAAGACAGGCAAATGTGCCGGAAGAGTAAGATACCGTTGGGTCCAATGAATACAAATTATTACATTTTAGGAATGAGAAAACAGTACGGTTTGATCTGTCATGAAATCTTTCCACTTGTGATGAGCAGTAGGGGACCACAAATGAATTTACTGTCCCAAGTTTCACACCTGTACAACTTTAATACATTTTAATATCATGACAAGTTAAAATATTTCAGATCAAACATATTAATAAAGCATTCTACGAAAAACGGCAGCACCTGCTCTGACACAGCAGAACTTGTGACTCATGGAATCTCTGGGTAGAAGGAATGATTTTCCCCTTAGAGGGGTGAAGCCCCACTACATTTCTCACAAGTGGTTACTGAACTTCAGCTCAAACACCTCCAGCAACAGGAACTCATCATTACTTGCCCCAGAAACACATTCCCATTTTTAAATAAACTTTATTTAGACAGAATTTACATACAACAACATGCGCCCATTTTAAGGGTATTGTATGATGAGTTCTCACAAATGTATAAACCCATGTAACCACCAGCATACCAATATATAGACTGCTTAAGCGTTTTTTCAATTCACTGAAAAAAAGAAGAGAATCCTTCTTTGATCCCAGGTAAATCTTACGTCTACAATGACTGTGAAATAATTCAACTTTAATCCTAAAGTATTTGGCTGCCCTCTTAACTTACACTGAATCAGATGTAACACTCTTCTAACTCCAATCATCAGTGAAGAAATGAAACACAATCAGCTAATTTTTCACCACGGTTGCTTCCTATCAGCATTACTGACATTCCTTCCCTTCTCGTACACCAAGTACGTACCTTATACCTTTCATGGTATCCCTTCATTCCTGTGTTCTCCACCGCTATCTTGACATCTCTAACACAATCCCTAAAGTCACATTTCTGTCGGACACAAGTCCCACAGTGGTTCTCACGTATGGGAGTGCATCTGCATGGCCTGGAAGACCTCTGAAAGCACGGACTGATGGGGCCACCCCCTGAGTTTCTGATTCAG